ATTGGCTGATGCTACCCAGCAAATGTAATTTTAAAAGCTGAGTCAAGTTGCTTATCTGATTTTTTGTCTTAAGTCACCTAGATGAGGGGAAACAGTGGACTGAACCCCTTTTAGGCGCACAGGACTGAGTTTTGACAGGTGCATGCTGTTGTGTAACCACCACTGCCAGTCGAGTTAAGACAGGACATGTCATCACCCCCAATACATTCCTCGTCTGCCTGCAGCTTCTGGGACAATGACGTTAGACTAACCCAGGTCTAAAGAACCCACGTGCCGAAGGCCTTGGTCCCAGAAAACACGCGTGTTGAGTCCGGTGTTTGCAAGCGGCGTGGGCCGCTGCAGGACACGCTCGGTCGGCGAGCCCGGTCTGCCGTTTGTTCACTCGGCAGCGATCTCTGAGCTGCCATCCCGGGCCGGCACCGTCTGCGGGGACTGGGTCCCCGGCTCTCAGAGGCCCGGTGTGACGGGGCGGTGACACACAGCCAGAGCCGGCAGAGGACACGCGGGAGCAGGATGTCAGGAGCTGTCACGGGGAGGGTCACGCTGTCTTCTGGCTGAGCAGCGGGGACAGGGAGTGAGAGGTGCCCCGGAAGGAGAGGTCAGCCTGCTCGGGGTGGCCAGGAAGAGGCTCCAAAGAAGCAGGCATTGTGAGCGCTGCCTGTGGCTGGCCCTCCTCCCCTCCCCCCTCCCCTGTCACCACCTCACTGAAGCCTTTGATTCCCTGAACTGGAAAAAAACCACTGCACTTCCTCCACCCCCATCACATGGCTGCTCCCCGCTTCCCCATCCCACCGCTCTGCTCAACGCACTCTTTATTGCTGTGTGTGGCCGCAGCCCTGTGGCAGGTCCCAGACCACGTGATCTCTGCTCCCAGCACGTGACAGCAGAGCCCTGTGCAGAGTAGGTGCTCCGTGAGTCTGGGTTAGTGGAATCACGGAGGTGGGCATTGTGGGAAAAGCAGTGAGGAGAGCCTGCTCAGTTAGAGCGAGTCCTGTACACCGAAAGGTTGTGGGTTCAAGCCCGGTTGGGGCATGTGCAGGAGACAATGATCTCTCTCTCTCTCTCTCTCTCTCTCTCTCTCTCTCTCTCAAATCAATAAGCCAGTATCCTCGGATGAGGATTCAAAAGCAACAGTGAGGGAGAGGATTTGGGTCAGAGCAAAGGGGCAGAACTGGGAAGATGCTGAGCTGCCGTGTCTGGGAAGGCAGTCAGTGTGGGAAGGTAAAGCAGCTGTGACACCAGCCACAGGTATATGAGATCCGAATGGCCTGAGAGGGGGTACTGCGTGCACCCCCTCTCCTCAGACACATTCTGACACCCGTTAGATTTCTGCTTCTAGGACTTGGGAAGTCTCATTTCCTGCTCTTACTTTATTTGGGAGAAGAGGCAGGAGGAACTGAGAGGGGTTAGTGTCTTGCTCAGTGTGTGTCTAGTGAATGGCGTAATTTTTTTTTAAAAAATACATATTTTACTGATTTTTTTACAGAGAGGGAGAGGGATAGAGAGCTAGAAACATCGATCAGCTGCCTCCTGCACACTACCTACTGGGGATGTGCCCGCAACCAAGGTACATGCCCTTGACTGGAATTGAACCTGGGACTCTTGAATCCGCAGGCAGACGCTCTATCCACTGAGCCAAACCAGCGAGGGCAATGAATGGCAACATTGATGTCCTCATGCTCAGAGAGGTAGCCCCAGGGGTCAAGTAAGAGTTGGGGATCCTGCCTGCCTTTCTTTTCTTTAATTTCCTCCCCTCCAGGAGAGCCTGGGCAGCATCCATGTTCCCTCCCCTTCTGTACGCTGCGCTGTGGACCCTTGTCACACCCACGTCTCCTCTCCCGGCCCGCCCACCCCTCCCAGCCCCTCCCTAAAAGACGCACGTCTTTTCATCACCCCGAGACCCCCACAAAGCAGGAACCATTTCTAAACAAACGCTCGAGCAGCGAAAAGACTGTGAGCATGGACCCAGGAGCGGGCCGTGAGGCTGAGTGTCGCCTTCCTGCGGGCCCTGAGGGTTCACGTGCGGGATGGAGCACTGCACGCGATCCAAGCTGTGTGGCCTTGGACAAGTCACTCCGCGTCTCTGGGCCTGGGTGTCTGTGTTTGTAACAGGATGGTGATGCTTGCCCTGCCAGAAAACGTTAAAATAACTTATACGTGATGGCAGCATGCGGAGGTCCGGGAACACCACGTTATTCCCGTTTGATGACTGGTCCAGTTTTCAGGTGTGTTCCATCCAGTTAATTGCCCACTGGAGTAAAAGGTCAGCGCTGGGTAAAAGTAGAGCAGGGCATTATGGGTAGAGCAGGAAATTAAAGCTATGATGAGTCACAGTGGCTAAAAAAATAAAAATAAAATAATGGCCACTAAAGGCTGGAGACACTGTGCCTAAGTTAGAGCGTCCAGCCCAGCCCAGCGGCTCAGTTGGTTGAGCAACATCCCATGCACCAAAGGGCTGCCGGTTTGACATCCCATGCACCAAAGGGGTGCCGGTTTGACATCCCATGCACCAAAGGGGTGCCGGTTTGACATCCCATGCACCAAAGGGCTGCCGGTTTGACATCCCATGCACCAAAGGGCTGCCGGTTTGACATCCCATGCACCAAAGGGCTGCCGGTTTGATTCCCGGTCAGGGCAGAGAGCTGCATGGTGGGTTTGATCCCCAGTTCTGGGGTGTACAGCAGGCAACCCGATAGATGTTTCTCCTCTTCTCTCTCTCTTTCTCTTCCTCCCTCCCCTTCCTTCTCTCTAAGCATGTCCTCAGGTGAGGCTTTAAAAAAAAAGATTATCCATTCACGCTGGTGGGATTGTAAGATGCTACGGCCACTCTGGATGGCAGCTTGGCAGTTTCTTGTAAAGCTAGACGTGTAATTGCCGCATCACCCAGCAGCTGCACTCTTGGGATACATCATCCCAGAGAAAGGGAAACTTACGTTTGCACAAAACCTGCGTACAGATGTTCTCTGTAGCCTGATTTGTAACAGCCAAGGGATGGACATGGCCCCAGAGTCCTTCAGAGGGCGGACAGACTGTGGGACAGCCAGACCATGGAATGCCACTCAGCAGTGCCAAGGGACCAGGTCTTGATACACACACCTCTTGACATACACATCCCGAATGAATAAATCTCCAGGGAGTTATGCCGAATGAAAAGAAAAAAAAAAGACAAGCTCCAAAGGTTACTGTGTGAGTCCAAGATTAGAGAAATGGGAAACAGGTTGGAGGGTATCGGGGAGTAATGAGAAGGGGAGGCTGAAGGAAGAGGGGTATGGTTACAGAAGGGTAATGTTGTGGGGTCGAACCCTGGAGACAAAATAAGTCCACTGGAGGCTGCTAATGGATTAAAAAAAAGCAGGCAAGGATTTATTGAACTGGCCAGGACGGCCGCGAGAGCACCACACGCAGGTGGAGTCCACACTCACGACTGCACCATTCCAGGTGTAGGCAGTCCTTTTAAAGTTCTAAGCCACAAACATTTTCCTTTGTTCTAAGTTCTAAATTCTAAAGGCTGGGAACAGCCCTCAGGGCTGGATGTGGAATGTGGCCCTATCTTTCGAAAGCAGATAGTACAGAAGCAGAGCTGAGCCAAGTTAATCTCTAAAGGTTATCTGCAGTTTCCACTCCTGGAGCTACTGAGTCAGTGGGAATCAATCTCCTGTGGTCCTGGTCCACAGGCACAGAAAAGTTACCTTTTGAGTTTCTAGGTCTCAGTCTGGAAGCTGAGGTAACTATTCTATTGTTTAAGCAAGTAAGTGAGTGCAGAAGCCAGAATAGCAGTTAAAATTCAAACAGCAGTTTTTATCCAAGTGTGGTTGCTACTTCAGGTAACATAGGAGATGCTTTCGAAGGTGACTGTGGGCGGGTATGTGAAGCTACATCTGTAATAAAGCTGCTTAGAACTACGTACACACCCATACGCACATGCAGGATCCAGCCTCCAAGGGATCGGATGCGTGGATGGCTGTGGCTGTCAGTAGTATCCTGATCTTGACCCGTGGTTTTTTGTTTTTTTTTTGTTTTTTTGTTTTTTTTTAATATAGTTTATTGATTTTTTTTTTACAGAGAGGAAGAGAGAGGGATAGAGAGTTAGAAACATCGATGAGAGAGAATCATCGATCAGCTGCCTCTTGCACACACCCTACTGGGGATGTGCCCGCAACCAAGGTACATGCCCTTGACCGGAATCGAACCCGGACCTTTCAGTCCGCAGACCGACGCTCTGTCCACTGAGCCACACCGGTTTGGGCTTGACCCGCGGTTCTGCGAGGTGTAGCCATTGGGGGAAACTTGGGTGAAGGGACCCTTTTCTGTCATTTCTTACAACGGCGTGCGAATCTAGGATAATCTCAAACTAAAACGTTTGATCTAAAAACGTGAGGCAGGATTCCGAGCCAGGCGGTCAGAATTCATCCTCCCCGTGTTCCGGGAAGTCGATGTGACTCATGCGTGTGTGTGTGTGTGTGTGTGTGTGTGTGTGTGAGAGAGAGAGAGAGAATTGGGCGAGCGGCTGCCCCACCATTCTGCCCTTCCATCCAGTGGTGGTGTGGTCTGGGGAGAATGGACAGGGCACCCCACAGCTAGAAATGGCCCGGTGGGCAGATTGGGGTGAAGCTGCTTCCTCCTGCTAAGATTTGACCGTGTGTCTCTGAGCCCTAGGACTCAGAGCACAGCACACAGCTTCGTTTGGAGCGGGAGCAGAGAACAGAAATGGGTCCGTTCCAGGCGCTGTCCGCCTGGGCTGGGGGCGGGGTCTGGGGGCAGCCTCTGGTCCTCCCACAGCCGGGGCCAGGCCTGGGCTGGGGTGGGGACGCTGGCAGGCCTGCTGGGAGCAGTCCCGGGAGCCCGGGGCCTGGTCTTCAGTCTCAGGGCCGTGGACACGTGACCACTGAGACACTGCGCCCTGGCCGGCCGGCTCTTTCGGGGTAGGCGTTCAGTCCTGAGGGTGTGTGCGGGAGCTGGGCCGGGAGGCGTCAGTGCATGATGGCTTCCTTTCTCTGAAGTCGTAGGACAGTCGCATCTGGACAGCAACATCGAGGACCAAGAGATTGTCACCAACCCGCCGGACATCTGCCAGGTGGTGGAGGTGACCACCGAGAGCGACGAGCAGCCGGTCAGCATGAGTGAGCTGTACCCTCTGCAGATCTCCCCCGTGTCTTCCTACGCAGGTGAGGGGGGGCTCCTTTCGTTGGGGTGCCAGCCCTGCCCAGCAGCAGCCTCCCTCTGTCCCGGGAGCTGCTCTTGCTCTCTCCTGACCCCCATGCCTTGGACACATTTGCTCCCACAGACAGGGCCTCAGCATGTCTCCGCGTGATCGCCCACTCATTTCCATGCATGACGAACACGCAATAACGTTTCTCTGGACACGCAAGTTCATTTGAGTCTATTTTATTGCACAAGTTCTCTGAAATTTGGAAGGGTGTTCATGATGGAAGCCAAGCTGAGCATGCTGGGTAGGACCCCAGGACCATGTCCTCCGGGGCCTTCAGTGTTGGAAGTGAAGGGACTTGTTCCAGGGCACATGGTCGGTAGTAAGTGTTTGGGTCAGGACTTGGCCTCAGCCTTCAGACCCCAGGCCTCATTCCATTCCACCAGGTTTATGTGTGACTCCCACAAACATTCTCCTTTAAGGAATATATATGTAGTATTGATTTTCAGAGAAAGGAGAAGGGAGAAGGGGAGAGAGAGGTAGAAACATCGATGAGAGAGAAACACCACCGATCAGCTGCCTCTCACATGCCCCATCCTGGGGATGGAGCCCGCAGCCTGGGCATGTGCCCTGACCGGATATCGAACCAGTGACCTTTCGGTTCCTGGGTCAACACTCAACTGCTGAGCCACCCTGGCCGGACAGTTCCCCTGCTTTTCCAACTTGGTGCAGCTTCTGATCGGGCCAGGCCGCTGAGCCCGTTTCCGACGCCCCAGGATTGGCCTGGCATGGCAGGCACCGGCCAGACGGGGGTTGGGATCCGCCCCAGTGGGTTCTCCATCCTCGCCGAGCAGGGACGGCTCCGTTCTCCACCATCGTCGCATCGTCTTACGCTCCCTTCGCAGTGGTCCCCCGTTAACGTTTGGGACGCGGTCATAATGAGGAAATACAACTTCCGAGCCAGTGCTCCTGCTCGCGGACATTGGAAGCATGAAGCAGAGGCCCTGCCGTGAGTGACGCGGACGGCTCTACCACGTGGCTCAGGAGTCCTTCCCAGCCTCCCCTGCCTGGCTGCCTGGGGCCACCCCACGGACAGGCCGTTTGAGAGCTACCAGTTACTCAGTAACCCGAACCCTAACTGCCTGTCTGACTGACTTTAAAAAAATTATAGTAAAATACGCATCCCATGAAATCGGCCAGTTTTGCTATGTCAGCGGCATTAAGTGCATTCGAGTTGCTGTGCAGCTGTCGCCGTCATCAGCTCCAGAACTTGTTCACCTTCCCAAACGGAACCTCTGCCCCCCTTATCCGCGTCTGTCAGCCGTTCTGCTTCCGGGGAGTTCAGCTGCTCCGGGTGTCTCATCGGAAGTGGAGTCCTCCGGGATCTGTCCTTTGGGAAAAGGGCTTCTTTCATGGGGCACCGTGTCCTCAAGGCCCTCCTGCCTGCCAGCCCGGCCCGGAGCTTCTGAGGCCCATGCAGACGTCCTGGGCCTTCAGTCCTCCAGTTGTTCTCATTGTCTGGATTCTCCAGAGCCCTCGGGAGGGAGGCTGCTTGTTGGAGCCCAAATGTTTCATCGCTGCGGTGTTCCCAGAGCCGACGGGCACGTGGGAACATCCCAGTTCCTGGGCCCGGCTGGTGTTGGACCCTTCTGGAGTCCAGGCGCAGACTGGACAGTGTCCGTCTCACGAGTCAGGTTTGGAGCCTGCTGCTCAGAGAGGCAGCTGTTCTAGTTGTAGCTCCCTTTCCACGGGCATGTTGCTATAGGATTGGCTGTTTGCCTGCTTTCCATGACAGGGTATGGGTCTGTCTGTTTGTTGTGGTTTTTTTTTCTTCTTTTTTCTTTTCTGGTTTTGCTTCTTCAACTGTATTTCAACCTCCACGAACCACTTCCATGCCTTTGCTTAGGAAACGGATATTTGGAGGCTCTTGTTAGCTATGTTCGCCCTCTGATCCCTGAACTATAATCCCAGCAGGATCACAGAACCACACTCGGTTTTGCCAGCCTGTCTTCTCTCTGGTTGGATCCATCACACTTCTGTCCCGGAGAGGGGGTCCCAGAGCCGGGCTGGGTTGCCTAGAGGAGAGGCATTGGTCTCTGAAGGTACCCGAAGGGCCTCTTGCTGAGGGTGGCAGCAGGGTGTTGCCTGGTGGCTGCCGATGTGGGAAAGGAGAGCCGCCGGAGAGTTTGGACTGGAGCGGCGGGTGAGAGGGTGGAGACTGACTGGAGAAGAAGGCTTGCTGCGAGGGACTGACCGGTCACGGCCCAGGGAACGGAGATCGCCGGCAGCAAAGACGGGGCCCCGAACAGAAACCATGGCGTTCTGCTGGGGGGCGAGGGGAGGAGGGATAAAGGCTTCGAGATGAAGACCACTCTGCTTGGAACCTTTTCCTCCAGCCCGAATGAAAGCGATGGAGCAAAGGGTTGCGGGAAAGACATCCTCCTCAACTGTACTCACACGCATCGAACAAGAACCTTCCAGAAACTGTACCAGGACGTCAGCGTGCAGAAAGGCTTTCCTGTGAAGCATACCGTCCCTCCTCCCGTATGTTCCCGAGAAGGTCTGGCCGAGAACACTGGGCTGAAGGGCAGCGGGAGCTTAAAGCAAGTGTCCCCCTCGAGCTCAGGAAGAGGGTCTTTGCGATCAGCCTGGCCCTCCTTCCCTCTCCCTCCCCCAATGGCCTTGGGGGAGCAGACCCAGGAAGGTGAGACCAGCAGAAGCAGCTCCGATGCTTTTTTAACTCCATTGCATTCGAAGTAAATAAAAAAGGCAAATTACAGGGAAAGGGAAGTAACACGATCTGGACACAGCAGCCCCAGGGGCTCCTCTGGGGGGTAAGCGTGGCCCCAGGAAGTGGCGGTGACTGTGAGGTCAAACCGGTGAGGTCAAACCGGGAACCAGGCCTGCGTGACCCAGCAGAGGCCTTGGCGCCTGGTTCCCGGGCAGCCCAAGGACAACTGTACCGGAGAGAGGGGCCCGGTCCTCGGCTGCAGAGCCTGCTGCTCCTGCTCGAGGGCGGAAGGCACCGAGGCCGGCCTTTACCACGTGGGAACCGTGTGGCGGTGTGGAGAGCCTTTGCATAATAGCTACGCCAGAAACATGCTCTGCGCTCACAGTGTCAGCCGAAGCCAGAGCTCAGGGTCTGTGTCTTTTCTTGTCCCCGGCTGTTCCCTGAGGCCAGAAGCTGGGACTTACGGGGAGGGGCGGGGGGGTGACATCTGCTCAGGCTCAGGCTCTGTGTGAGGTCCTCCCAAGGAGCCTCGCCCAGGGGCTGCCTCCCGCCCCTCCCTCCCGCCCCTCCCCAGCTGTGGCTTGGGCCGTGGGATCCCATTTTTGCATATTTCCAGCCCCAAGCACGCCTGTTGGCACTGTTTGTTTTCCATTGATGGGGAAAGGTACCGATGGGGGCGATGCGGAGTTGAGCGGACATGACGTGTACGAAAGGAAGAGAAACCTTGGATTCAGAGCGAGAGGAAGCTCAGCCCAGCAGCGGGAAGCGGGTCTGGAAATTTCCTCAGAGGCTGGAGTGGGAACCAAGGCCGTTACCAGCGTGGGTCTGCGGCTCCCAGGCCGGCTGCTGTGGGGACGGCTGCCTCGGAGGAGGAGCGGAGAGGCCCTCCTCCAGCTGCTGGTGGTCCCTCTAGCTGCTGGCAGTCAGTCGGGCTGGGAGAAATCGCTGGAGAACAGTGATCCAGACACCTTGTGCGGGTGGGGTTCGGGTGGTCAGCATGCTCGCTCTCTCTGTTTAGGGGTGACCCTGCGGCTCCGTGTGTCCTCGGTTCTCCAGCCTGCGTTTCAGAGCCTGGTCTGCACCCTGTGCGCTGGATGGGCGACAGGGACGGGCTCGGCCAGGCCCCGCTGCACCACCAGCAGGAAGTGGGATGGGAGGCCAGTTCCTCAGTGGGCCCGGGCGGAAGGCTTAGAGGCATCAGACCGAGAGCTCTTGTGCTGAATGGGGGAGGATGGGCCCTGCTCCCCATGAGCAGTCCTCCAGGCCAGACGAGGCCTGTCCACAGGCCGGGGCAGCCCTGGCCCAGGCCCAGCAAACGTACTCAGCTGTGGCTGCCCTGCAGTCCTGCCAGTAAAGTGAACGGCCCAGCCTCAGCGTCTCTGACGGTCTGTGTATTAATATTTCAAAGAGTTCTACCCTTTGTATTTGGTTTTCTCAAAACTGTGAACGCTGAGCAGCTGCACATCATTTTTTTACTTAGAGTTTTAAGGTTTTTTTGCTTAAAAAAAGTTAACTTTTTTGCTTCAAACAATCTTGTGTCACACGGGAAGCAATGGCGCCTGAGGGGCCGTGGCCACTCTGGCATCTCCCAAGGTCAGTGTTTGACCTCAGGAAGGGGATGGAGATGGAGAGATCAGGTACCCATTTCGCTTCTGGAAAAGAGGTGCTGATACGATTTCTAAATACCGCCTGAGCCTCGGGACAGTTTGCGGGCAGGAATGACAGCCTGTGTTTCTCTCCCGTGAACAGAAAGCGAAACCACCGACAGTGTGCCCAGCGACGAGGAGAGCGCCGAGGTAAGCTCCTGCCCGCTCCCACGCTCCTCACGTGCCTTCTCTTCTGGTCCCGAGTCTTACTCGTGTGTGTGTGTGTGTGTGTGTGTGTATGTGTGGTTAAGTGTACAGAACAGAAAATGTACATCATTTTGGGGTTTTGAATGATAACATGACACGTTGGGAACTGCCGTTGCCATCGGAAAGAGGGAAGGAAAAGGAAACCAAAATGCAGGCCAGCCAACGCTAATGTTCCAACCACTACAAACAGCCTGATTCTCTGGCGGCAATCATGTGTCCCCGTGACCCAAAGTGGGAGCCAGACGTGAGGATCTGACCTGACCGTGCTAAGCAAAACATCCCCAGTGCACCTGGAGCCCCGCCCTTGGGGCCCCTCCCCCTGCGCCCCGCTTCCTGCAGCCCCGCCCCCCTGCGGGCGCGTGTGTGGGTCCTGATTCTGAGTCACTGCTTCCCCTGGGTCGCCCGCTGCCAGGCTGCCCCGCATGTGGCAGGAGAGGGTTGTGGGGGTGGAAAGCAGCCTTGCCAGAGCCTGCTTTGGGTCTGAGTTAGAGGCGGGGAGTCTGACCGACTGGTGGCTGTTGGACTTGGTGGCTTCCCCAGGCACTACACGCTTCTGGTGCAGCCTGGGAATTTTTTTTTATTTAATTTCTTTATTGATTAAAGTATCACATATTTGTCCTCAACCCCCCATTCTAACCCCCCCCCCCTCCCCATTCATACTTCCACCCCCTTATTGTCCTTGACCACTGGTTAGGCTCATATGTGTGCACGTAAGTCCTTTGGTTGATTTCTCCCTTTTGTCCCCACCCTCCCTCTGAGGTCCGACAGTCTGACCCATGGCTCCTTATCTCTGGGTCTGTTCTCGTTCATCAGTCTATGTCGTTCACAATTTGCCCTAGATGAGTGAGATCATGTCCTACTGGAAATACACTTATAAGTATCAAAAATGAGACAGTCAATAATGGTTATGCTGAAAGGCATATGAATCAGTCTGTAGTGAGTTTCTTTCTGGGCCACCAGTTCTTTTGAGACCCAATTTCAATGAGCCCAGGAACTCTGAGAAAACAGTGCAGGGTGTAGAGGCCCATGGACGTCCCAGCCACGTCTCCAAGGCCCGCCTTCTGGCCCCTTCTTGGAAGGAGGCCACCCTCGGGGGGAGCTTTCTGCTCGGCACCCTGGAGCTCCAAGCAGCACCCATTGGTCAGCCGTCCAGGGGCGCTCCCTGGGTGGGGCCGTTTCTCACTCCCCTCCCCCTGATGGGGCCATCCTGGAGGGACCACGCTTCCATGGCCCCGGCCACCAGGCACGGGGCTGGGCACGGGCGTGGAGGGGACTCAGACACCATGCTGCTGCGCTGCCCTCCTGCCTGCACCGAGCACCCTGACCGCGCTCCTGGGGGGCAGCCAAGGGGAACCAATGACCAGGGAGGGCTCCAATGGAGGGACGGAGGGCTGCTGAGCTCCCGCTCCTTCCACAACGCTTAGGAAATTTCGTTTCCTGGCAACAGGGTTTGGCGGTGCTTTTATTTTATTTTTATTTTAATTATTTTATTTTTTTAAAATATATTTTATTGATTTTTTACAGAGAGGAAGGGAGAGGGATAGAGAGCTAGAAACACCGATGAGAGAGAATCATCCATCAGCTGCCTCCTGCTCACCCCCCTACCGGGGATGTGCCCGCAACCAAGGTACATGTCCTTGCCAGAATCGAACCTGGGACTTTCCAGTCTGCAGGCTGACTGACGCTCTATCCACTGAGCCACACCGGTTTCAGCTCCTTTTATTTTTTTAAGCCCCGGCCGGCCGACAGGAGGCCAGGGAAACACACGCCCTCATTCTTTCTCTCTGAAAGGGCCGGCCCCCCTGGCGGAAGCGGAACATCGAGGGCAAGCAGTACCTCAGCAACATGGGCACACGGAGCACCTACCTGCTGCCCAGCATGGCCACCTTCGTGACCTCCAACAAGCCCGACCTGCAGGTCACCATCAAGGAGGAGAACTACCCGATGCCCTTCAGCAGCTCCTGGCCCCCGTACCCCGACCACCCGCTCGCCGCCTCCGTGAGCCCCGCGCCCGCCGGCGGCCGGCCGGACCGCGAGGCCCGGGCCAGCGTCATCAAGAAGACGTCGGACATCGCCCGCGTCAAGAGCTGCTAGGCCCGCGGCTGCCCGGCGGCCGGCCCCGGCTCCGTGCTGTGTGTCTGTGTTGCGTGTTCCTCTCGGACGCCCGTTCTGTACAAATCCAAGGCACAGAGCCTGGGCCGCGGGACCGGGACAGGGACCGCCGGGTCCGACGGCAGCGGCCCCGGCTTCTCTCTAACTCAGGACGCCAGCCCAGTGGCAGGTGGGCAGGCGGCAGGTGGCAGACGGCGCCTGGAGAGTCTGCTGGGTCCGGGGCCGCCCCCTCCAGCGCCAGGACGGCACAGGACCAACCCCCGGGCGGCCCGGCCACCTCGCCAGCGAGCGAGCGAGCGGGCGGGCGGTCGTCGGAGCGAGCGGAGGAGAAAATGTGAACGAGCTGGGAGTGGTGATCCTTGTGAATATGTACATAGGGCAGTTCTAGCGACTCGCCGGCTTCTGCACCTTATCGTAAAGCACTTACAGACCGACCTTCTTGAGCCCTCGCCCTCCTTCTCCCTCCCCTGCCCCCCACCCGGTTCCTCTCCTCCTCCCTCTCCCTGGACGGGCGGCTGTGGGCCCCGCACCCTGAGGAGGAGGAGAGGAAAGGGCCTTCTCCTCGGATGTCCCACGTGAAGACTGCTTTGAAGGAGGGAGAGGGAGCATCTTTCTAAATCTGCTATGCTTGAAGGCCACGCGGTACTAAGGAGAACGATCTCGGAGATCGGATGCAAATTCCCAGATTTGAAGACAAAAAAAAGAGAGAGAGAGCGAGCGAGCGATAGAAAGAGAGAATACTCTAATTCTAACCAGAGCAAGCTTTTTTATTTTTTATACAGGGGAATATTTTATTCAAGGTATAAGAAAAAAATTCTAAATAAAATAAAATCGTTTTTTATCTTTTCTACAGCAAATTTATAATTTTAAGATTCCTTTTCTTGTTTCTCAGCAAGTTGTTATGACACCCTTGTGGCACACTGTTTTTTAATTTTGTAAAGGTGAAAAAGCTTTTATGAGCTCATGTAGCAATCAGATTATCCTGTGGATTGATAATAAATGAATATGATATATAGTTAAATTTTTCATGGGCGTCACGCCTTGGCTTTGTACGGACTTGGGAGCACAGTCACGGGACAGGACGGACAAAAGATCGTTGCTCCTTGGAGACCTAAACGTCTTCCCGGTCTCACCGCAGCGTGAGGGTGGGAATGGCCTTGATGGCCAGTCCCCAGCCAGGCCCTGTGCTCTGTGCTGCGTGTTTCACCGGAGTCACCCTCCTCGGTCATCACAGTTGTGCCCAGTGAATGCCTTTCCTCAAGGTCATGTAGGTAGTCAGAGTCAAGGGTGTGATTAGGTCCAAGTCTGGGGTGAAGATGGGGGGGTCCTTTTACCACCCACACTCTCTGCTACCGCCTCGAGCTCTTCTCCTCATCCAGGGGTGTCTCCGGATGACTGGAATGTCCCATCTATGCCCCATCATGGGGGATGGCTGGAATGTCCCATCTATGCCCCATCATGGGGGATGGCTGGAATGTCCCATCTATGTCCCATCATGGGGGATGGCTGAAATGTCCCATCTATGCCCCATCATGGGGGATGGCTGGAATGTCCCATCTATGTCCCATCATGGGGGATGGCTGGAATGTCCCATCTATGTCCCATCATGGGGGATGGCTGAAATGTCCCATCTATGTCCCATCATGGGGGATGGCTGGAATGTCCCATCTATGTCCCATCATGGGGGATGGCTGAAATGTCCCATCTATGTCCCATCATGGGGGATGGCTGGAATGTCCCATCTATGTCCCATCATGGGGGATGGCTGAAGTGTCCCATCTATGTCCCATCACGGGCCCCCAGGCGAGGCATCTTCAGCTGGCGCTGTCTGCTGGGTTCCTAAGCCAAGCCCATCTTCTTTCCAGGACCCGGGACCACAGACGGAGGTCTTTCCAGTGAGAAGTGTGACCTCACACTCTACCACCCACTTGAGTATACACCCAGGTGGAGACCTGACCTTGGGCAGCCTCTGCGCTGACCTCCCGCTCCCACGTGTCTGTCTGTGAAGCGGGCGCTGAGGCTGAGCCACCGCCCTCCTGCCCCAGGGTGTGGAGGTGGAAAAGATGGCTGAGTTAATATTTGAACAGGCTCCGCGGTGGAGGACAAAGGGCTGGTTTTATGCCCCGGGGTGAGGCTGCAGAGGTAATTAGTGCTGTAAACGGCTGCGCCCTGAGCAGAAATTAACGAGAGTTTTGCCCGTGGTGGTGGTTGTGGTTGAGATGGCTCTGGGGGTGGTTGCTGGTTCTGTGAGGAGCACTGCGGGGGCGGAGGGTGACCTCTGAAGGTCGGGAGGAGGAGGGGTGCTCCGACCTGAGCAAGGAGCTCTGAGCTCAGCCATGCCCTCCTCCCAGCTCTCCATGCAGACACCCACATGAGTGCACAGTAACAGGGAGGCCTGAGTGCCCTGCCTGGCCATCCAAGGGGTAAAGGTGGCCCCTCTTCCCAGTCCCCTTTCCCTCGTCCCAGCTCATGCCCTGCCCCTGCAAGCAGCTCTGCTGGCCCCAGACCCATGGCCACCCCCTTCCCCCTGCCCCGCTCTGCTTCCTCCACGTCTGTGGCTACAGCTGGCCTCCCAGACCTGCCAGGGTTTGGAAACGCACAATTCAGTGTTAGAGATCACCTCGCCCCTGGCTAGCAAGGCCGTGGAAAACAGAAGCACGTGTGAGGTACTTCGGAGAAAGGCTGTCTGGTCTCTAAGGGCTGCTTGCCAGTAGCTGACATGAAGACAAACCCCTGGGGTGTGTCCCGGGCCCTGCCTCAGTGTCAGTTAGAGGAAGTACCGGACATGTGCTTCCTCAGCCGGCATCTGTGTGAGCTGATAGGCCTTTAAGACAGGCCGTGTGTATGTGTGTGTGTGTGTGTAAGTGTGTGTGTGTAAGTGTATGTCTCTGTGTTATGTCTCTCTGTGTCTCTGTGTGTTTATGTCTGTGTGTGTGTCTGTGTCTGTCTCTGTGTGTGTGTGTGTGTGTATGTCTCTGTGTTATGTCTCTGTGTGTGTCTCTGTGTGTATGTCTGTGAGTGTGTATGTCTCTGTGTGTGTGTATATGTGTATGTCTGTGTGTGTACGTGTGTGTATGTGTATGTGTGTCTGTGTATATGTGTATGTGTGTGTGTCTGTGTGTGTGTATGTCTCTGAGTGTGTATGTCTGTGTATATGTGTATGATTGTGTGTGTGTACGTGTGTGTGTGTGTGTGTGTGTGTGTGTGTGGTGCAGAGTGACAGCCATCGGGACATTCAGTAGTCTCCATTCTCTGCAGCCAGCACTCGTCCCTCTCTGGTCCTGAGAACATTGAAGGCTGTGACCTGGGACTCCAGGGGCAGGGGTTCCGCCTGGAGGAAGGCTGACGGAACTCGTGGGTCCCTGGTAAATCCATGCCCAACCAGGACACAGTATCTGTGTTTGGGTGAAAGGTGGGCCACAGGCGGTGTTTAGTCGACTTAAATGTTTTTAGAGAAGAAGAAACAGACATGGGTAAGAAATGCAGCACAAGCCGAAACCAGTTTGGCTCAGTGGATAGAGCATGGGCCTGCGGACTAAAAGGTCCCAGGTTCAGTTCTGGTCAAGAGCATGTACCTGGGTTGCAGGCACATCCCCTGTGGGGGGTGTGCAGGAGGCAGCTGGTGGATGTCTCTCATCGATGTTTCTAACTTTCTATCCCTCTCCCTTCCTCTCTGTAAGAAAATCAATAATATATATATATATATATATATATATATATATATATATATATATATATAAAATAAATACAACACAAATGCATTGGAAATTAAAACCCAAAATAGTACCTTTTCTTCTCTTCCCCTCCCCCCACAAATCTACAGTGTACCAACTGATCAGGTGACTGCCACTGAGAGGGAAATGGGAGCGAGGAGAGGAGGGAGCTGCTCCAGGACTCTGAACTTGTGCTCTGGGAGGTATTTTGCAAGTGAATGAAAAAGATGTTAAGCCCCAAAGGGCCTCTGCTCAGAGCCAGAGAGAGGGAACATGAGACATTCCATTGGTCTGAGGCCATTCTTTGGATGTTGCATTCATTTGGTTTTAAAAGCCCCCTGTTATTCCAGCTACAGACAAACAGACCCAGATAAAAGGGGAGCATAAGCACCCCACTGTCCTGCCAAATTTCTGCGGAAGAAAGAGAGAAGGCGTGCTGGGGGAGCTGGCCAGCAGGTAGCCACGTGGGCCCCTGGAATCCTGGGCCAACTCTCCGGTCTGCACCCGTTTCGGCTTGGAAAGAGAATGGAAGTGTTCAGCTACCTCGTCCTGAAACTCCATCCTGTGGCAGAGCCAGGCCAGGGTGGTCAGGCCAGTGGGGCCTGAACCTGGGAGCAGGCTGCAGTAGACCCCTCCCCCGGGCTGTCACAGGCCCCAGGACTGTCAGCTTCTCGGGGCTGTGTCTCAGCCACATTTCCCTCCCACCATGTGAACAGAGGCTGGCTACACAGTAGGCAGTCACCCCTGTGTCTTCTCTTCCTTGGGGTCATGTCCCTGGAGGTCAAGACCACTGACTGGGCTGGGGCCCTGATCTGCACCCTGAGGGAACATGACCAGCCAGAGATCAGGCACACATTCCGGCCAGGAGATACCAGAAGGTGGTGGGTGAGCTGTTGCCTTTGGGAGGGCTGCCTGGCCTCTGGGCCCCATCCTCTGGACACAGACCATCCCATACCTCCCCCTCCGCCCCCCAGGCACCGCTGGCCCTGCTGTGCAGGCGAAGGAGGGCTTTCTGAGGCTCCTTGCTGGGGCCAGGGTGCGGGCAGGTGCAGGGCTCCTGTCTGCTGCTGCTGCTGAAAATAGTGCTGGGGGGAAGGAAGTGGCCAGGCCTAATAGCCGGTTTAGCAAAAAGGTTTGGTCTGTCCAAGAACTTGAGTCATGCTGTGGAAGCATCCAGATGCAGGGCCTCTCAGAGTTCACACGGCCTGTGGGGAGCATGGTCTGAGCCCCATGGCTGGTGTTCAGTGGGGGAGCCACGCCTGAGCGCCTGATCCTCCGCAGGCTGCCCTCGGAGGGCCGCCGTCCCCCGGGTCTGCTTTGTAAACACGCTGGAGCGGAGGCTGGCCCTGCGGGGTGTACTGTGCTAGGTTGTGCAACGGCCGCATGGCCAGCCCCTCGCTCACACGGCTGGAAAAACAGCCCCGTCACGTGCAGCAGCCTGTGCAGCAAAAACAGTTGGTTTTAGTAACACGACAGTTTTTGCAGGTGCAAAAAAAAAAAAGAAAAAGAAAAAAAAAATTCCATACTGGCAGCATCTCTAAGTTTCAGTTTTGGTTGAGAGGAGCCTTTTAAAATGTAAACACCCGAACCTCCATCCCCATGCATCATCAGGGAAACAGAATAGCGTGACGTCCCGCCCCTCTGCCAGAAGCTTGGGCCCAGGATCTGAGAGTGCTCCAGATTTTCCACGTTCCCTCTAATGTGCCAGTTCAAAGATGCTGACATGTCAAATCCCCAAAATATACTTGATGATTCTGTCTGGAGTCTCAGAATGATGTTAGCAGCTAGAGGGGGTGTGTTCCTCAAGGCTAGAGATGGCTAAGGCCTCATTTGTTCCTAGGATTTGCATGGATAAGTGTTCGCTGCAGAGCTGGCTCTTCTGTCTTCCAATGGGATGATGAACTTGGACTTCTCTGGCCTCCCCTGCAAAATCTGGGGCGTAAATGCCACATGTTTTCTCTGGGAAGCTCATGTGTTGTGTTTCCGATGTAACTGTGAAACACAGAAGCGATTTCACAGGCTGTGAGCCCCCACACAGTCAGTGGTCGGCAAACTCATGAGTCCACAGAGCCAAATATCAACAGGACAATGATTGACATTTCTTTGGAGAGCCACATTTTTAAACTTAAACTTCTCCTAATGCCTCTTCTTCAAAACAGACTCGCCGAGGCCGTGGTATTTTGTGGAAGAGCCACCCTCAAGGGGCCAAAGAGCCGCATGTGGCTCGTGAGCCGCAGTTTGCCGACCACGGGTGTAGGCAAATAGAAATTCTAGCAAAAATGTAAAATGCAGCCCAGAACTGCTGCTCAAATT